TGACCCCATTCGGGGGTCCCCCTCCCCCCCCCCCCCCCCGGACACCTCCTAGGACCACCTCTAACAAACAAATAAAAGCATAATGACCCACACTGACCATTCCTTAAAAAGCTAGTGCAAGGCCACCCGGGTGAGATGTTATGCTGACATGAGAATGACGTATCTGATAACAAGTTTCCATATTCCAAGCTCACCTCATGGCAGCATACTGCAGGATGTAGCAAGCTAAAAACCAGAGATGGGAAAGAAAAACAGATAGAAAATTATGCTGCAAAAATATATTTAATGACTTAAGGCTGCTGATAAGATTCATCTGAAAGGCTGAATTTAGACCCTGTAAGTGGCTATCAAGGTTCCAAGGTGGTCCGGGCCAGTCATTATTTGCAAAATATAACTACAACAGATGCAGGACGGGGTCTGCTGGGGGATCTTTTTATGATGTTTCATCCCTATTTGGACTGCTGAGTTGAGTTTCACCTGGAATTTGTCAGAGATTTTTATGCAGATTTATCCTATTTTAAATGTAAGTGCACTAGTTTTTAAATGATTTGTTTATTAAATGGTTTTAGGCTATGGTGTTTTTTGTATCTATTTGTTTAGAGTGTATCAGTTTGCTAGCGCTGTGATTTGAGAATACATTCACTACCTGCTTTTTGAGGTCACATCAGTTTATGGTTTATATATTTACACATTACAGATAAGTCTGTGTTCATTTAGGTGTCACATCAGTGCAGCCCTTATTATTTCAATTTTAATAGTCTGCAATTGCAAAGTTCAAAACAAGTGGACTGTGTTTATAAGACAGTTTTGCTGCCTGCCCAGGCTTCTTCCTATGGTTTATATTATACATTTTCTTTTGATACATTTAGCCAGTAACAGTGAATCTATCGTGACAGTCTGAAGTATAGAAATTGCTCATATTTTGTGCATGACATTTAAATTGAATGCGAGGCATCACTTGTCTTAATATATTCATGGCTTTCCATTGTTTCAATTGTGGCTCTACTGCAAGGGGAATTCAATGCACCTATTACTGTTATCAAATTGAAACTATGTTATTATCACATCAGTATTATAGAAGTTGGCATATGAAATGAATGCACGTGTACAACATCACTCCCTTCCTGATTTTCAATATGGAGAAGCCATTCTGTTTGCTAATTACGTAGATTGTGTGCTATGAAAAGAGATGTCTAATAAGACAGAAACTAATAAAGTGGCATTGACTCCTTGGTTTTCAGCAAAGTTAATTTTAGAATGAATTGCTTAGAAGAGGAATTGCTTTGCATAATAAAGAAGTGTTTTTATTATTTAAGATGGCAGTAAAATGGGATATTTCTTTATACAGCTCCATTAGAATTACAATCTTAATTGTTCTTCATTGGTTTTAGAATGTCATATATAGATGCCATGTGTCATAGCAGTACTAGCTATTAGCATTTTGTTTGAAAACAAAGACTTTAGATATGATTGTACAAACTCTATTTAAAGCTGACTTAGGCACCCAATTAAATCAATTGCTGAAACAATTGGGATGTGCAAGGGTTAACAGACCAATAGCAAGCATTGAAAGTGCTAGTTCCCCCCTGTAGGGATTTTCTGACATGTTGTTAAATCTTTCCTACTGATTACTCTTTTTCCCTTTCGCCAAAGAACAGGGAAAGTGCTTTTTACCGCACCTGTTAATTGAGCAAAGCAGGCGCAGAGATAGCTGTGAATCCTATAGGTGTGAAGTTTTGGAACAGACAAGAAAATCTCTCACTGCTTACCTTTTTTGGGAGAAATTGGCCTAATATATCCAGCTTTTAAATAGGACCTGGAACAAACCTCAAGAGTGTTAACTTTTATACACATCAAATATGTTTAACCTCCTGGGCGGTATTCCCAAGTGTAGCTTGGGGTCACTTCTCCATACCCTGATCTACACTCGGGAATATCGCATAGTATTTACTTACCTTGTCCCTTGAGCCGCACGGTGTCCTCCGGCCGGCGCCGGTATCTGTCTTACAGGTTCCGTCCCTTGTGAGCGTACGCGCCGCACGGGGGCGGAACTGGCGGGAGATTTAAAAAAAGAAAATCTGAAAAAAAATCGACCCGAAGAAGAAACTAAACAGAAAAGAATCATACCGCCAGTGAGGTAAAAAAGTTCTGCTTTAATCATTTATTAATAACAAATACTAGCCTGGTAAAGCTGGCAGAAGAGGTATCTGTGTAACATACTGTTAACATTTGCAGCTAAAATATGAAATATCTATTTCCCTCCAAGCTCACATAATAAACACACACAGGGCCATGCCTATTTGTGCATATGTTGTGAAAGATCTGGCTGAAACTTACTAACTTAATGAATAGCTCATACAGTAAAGACTGCCCAAGATCACTTGTGTAAATCAACATTGGTATATAGCTTTGCCATATGCTAGCCCTATCCTATAAAGTGGGTTTAGCATCACTTTCATATTAACTGCATGCATGCTTAGTAATGTGTACGTGGGACACTAACAGGTAATACCTCTCCAGAGGATAAATTGAGCCACCTGCCGCCTGTCTAAATCAGTAGAAGACTGGGCCATTCTCCAGTCAAAAGCTGCACATAAACAAAGGGGTGGGATGCTTGTGTTGATGACATTGACTGTATATGGCCACATTGTCATATAAGGTCAATTATGTTCCTGCATCACACCCCTATGATTATGTCCAGCTGTGGGCAAAGAATCCCCTGGCTGCAGCTTATTGGGCAGCAGCACAAGGAGCATCTTCAGTGTTCGGAGGAGTTTGGTCTGAACCTGTGCTGATCCCTAGAGGTGAAGGGCTTGATCTTTTCACATTTTTATTTATAATGGATTACTGTTCAATCATTATTTCAAAGATTTTTCCTTATTGCAACAGCACATACAAAAGCTATTGATGTATGTCTTTATGTCACACCAACCACACTGTTAGATGCAATAGTATGCATTTATTTTAATCCAGCATAGAGTGATGCAATGATGGCACTTTATCAAATGACTGTGGGTGCTTGGCAATTTAGCTCAATAACATTTTCTGATTCTGCTGTCAGGGAACAGCAGGGCTGAGGAAGACATGGCATGACAAGCCCTCCAGTTGGATGCCTGCAGTTACAGGTACAGAGAATGTGTAACACTCACCTTGGTACCATAGTTCAGAAACAATAGTGGGTGTATCTTCTGCCTATAGTAGCCACCATTCCCTTAAGGTGTCCAAGTCTACCTATAGTTGGTTGCATCCAGGTCTTTGTACACAATGCTACAGTTTCTGACATTGTAGCACATAGGGCTGAGTGAAGGTAACAGAAAAGATTATCTGTGGTCTTCTAGAGCACTAGGCATGACCCCAAGCACCACTAGAGAGTCTCCATAGAACAGTTGGAGGCTGTTGGTGGTCTGGGCAGGAATCAGCATAATCCAGAGACAGTCTGAAGTCAGGGCAGGCAGCAAACAAAGTGTAATCCAGAGTTGGAGGTCAAGGCAGGGTCAGTAACAGAAAATCCAAACATAAGGCAAGGTGAGAGCACATATGCAAGGATACAGGACACTATTACAAGCCCAGAGCCCTGGGGTTGTGTGGCCACCAGGCCAATCAATACAGAGAAAGTTATGCAGATTGAGCTGACCCTCTGCCTAGCAATAAGGGTGCCTTCTGAGGAGTGCTGTGTCCAGTCATGGGAGAGGTGGGTCTGCCACCCAGCAACTGCAGTAGCTCTGACCAGGCAGTAGAAAGTGAGTGAAGGGTGAGCTGGAGAGTAGGAGTGTAAAAATGCCTCACACTCCTAACAGAGTGGTATAATAGCTTGTAGGCAAAACCTAATTATAAATCATGCATGCAACACCACTGGAGTTAGAATATGATGGTGGGGG